TTGAAATAAAAAATAGCATGAAACACATTTGTTTTATTGAATTGATTAATTACAATGGATATGTAAAGTTAACATTCCAACTTTAGATCTCTGATTAGAGTTGTAGCTTCCATTTTGGGTTAAATAGCCTTGTAGATCAAAAACTTGAAGTCTTTTAACATCATATTAGAGTAAGATAAATTTCAAAGTTAGAAATTGATTGAAAACATTTTTTTTTCGACATGTTTTACCAAATCTAAAAAAAATTTGAAAAAATATCGAATATATTGGATAAGAAAGTTTCTTTATATTTTTATGCAAAAGTTTTTCATTTGCTGCGAAATTTTCGTTACAATTATATAATAATTCGTTACAATTATATAATAATTCGCTAGAGCAAAGTTTCAGTTTTAAGAACCTGTTTTTTTAATTGTGGTATGATTTTTATCAGAATTATGAGAAATCACAGTCAGAATGCTCCTTTACTTAACTCGCGAATAACTCAGGAACAAAAAATCGTAGAAACATTTTTTTTTTAATAATTTTGTAGGGAAAGGTTCAAGCTTTCACGATAGGTACTCAAAAATTTTTCGTAAATTTTTTTTTGGGACATGAAAAACCCCCAAAGTGAAAACAAAATTTTTTATCAGCTCGTAGTTTTTTAATATGTAAAAATGATCAAACTCACAGAAACTCAAAAAATATAGTAATCTTTCAAAAATAGAGATTTCAAGCTTTAAAACCTCTTAAATTTTAATTTCATTCATTTTTAATGAAGATATTGTACAATTTTGAACTAAAACAAAAAAAAGATTAAACTTTCTCCTCAACCCAATAATATATAATAAGCTACTGAATTATTTAAAAAATGGTCCTTCAGATCATATAAAAAATGCGATTTTTAAATTCTTGAGTTTTTTAAAAACAGAATTTTGAAATCACGAATAACAAAAAAATTCTTACTCTAATCTTTTTGATATTCATATCCATACTCTATATCCTTTTTGGGATCTTTATATTCTTTTTTTTAAATTTTTGTAAATATCCGTTGAGATGAAGAAGAGAAAAAGATACTAATGAAAAATCACATTTTTTTGATATCTCGAAATGGAAGCTTTTGTGGAATGAAACTTCATATAAAATATTCTTTCATTTGGGTTTGTCTTGCTTCCTGTGGCAATCAATTACATGCAGGGTCTGAAATCCCCTTTGTTGCTGCACATTTTACATTTAATCACATGTAATACAAATGTATTAAAATTTTAATAACATATTAAATAATACATTAAAATCAGAGAATAGAAGTAAGGAATCACATCACATACAAAATTATATTACATAATCATATTACATAATCATAACATAAGGCTCTTAGACCAATGAGCATTTTATGTAAATCATATGGCATCTTTATGTTAGATGCTTATTGGTTCAGCCTTAAGATGATTATGCAGCTAATATATTAGGTGTACAACTTTGCTTCCGCCGTTTTTTTCCGAAATTCGAAATTCGCTTTATTGTAAAAAACTGGTTATACATTTATGATTCAAAGTATTGTCCATCGCTGGCCACTACTTTCTCCCATCTTTCGGGTAGCGTACGAATCTCGCGTCGAAAAAACTGGTCATCTTTTGAGGCTATCCACGAATCGATCCAATTTTTTACTTCTTCATAAGACCGGAAGTGCTGGTCAGCCAGGCCGTGTGCCATTGATCGAAACAAGTGATAGTCAGAGGGAGCAATGTCTGGAGAATACGGCGGGTGGGGTAGGACTTCCCATTTCAACGTTTTCAAGTATGTCTTGACCACTTTCGCAACATGGGGTCGAGCATTGTCATGCTGCAAAATCACTTTATCGTGTCTCTCGTTGTATTGCGGCCGTTTGTCTTTCAATGCTCGGCTCAAACGCATCAATTGCGTTCGATATCGATCGCCTGTGATTGTTTCAGTCGATTTTAACAGTTCATAATACACTACGCCGAGCTGGTCCCACCAAATACAGAGCATGACCTTGGACGTCAAAATCACCGTTCTTGAAGCGTTGAAACCACTCACGACACGTTCTTTCACTAATAGCGGCTTCACCATAAGTAATTGAGAGCATTCGTTGAGCCTCAGCCGCAGATTTCTTCATATTGAAGCAAAAAATTAAAACCTCCCGCAAATGACGAGAATTTGGCTCGTAAATTGACATTTTCAATCGAGAATAACTTTATGATGTAGACACAAATCGACTAATGTTTCTATGGGGTTATGTTGACAGATGCTCAAGTTTATTGTATGACGTCTATGATCTATTTATTTCGACCACCACTTACCGCTAAAGCCATCTATAGGAAAACGGCAGGAGCAAAGTTGTACACCTAATAATATAATTTTGTGTATAATGGCCTTAATTCGTTAGAGAGCGTTTATATTGGCCGTAACCGTATGCCGTAATCTTGTAAAAATTGACTAATCATCTTAGAGTATTCCCCTCTTATCATCGAATGACAGGGGAATATTTGTAATTAGTCAATATTTACAGATTATAGTATACAGCATAAGGTTATAGCCAATATAAATGCTCCCTTATTTGTAGCGAAATTAGAGTTACTTTGTTTTGATAATTTTACTGATAACTGCATTATCTCTTTTTCGGTAATTCTAACAGTAACATAGTTACATTATTTTTTATAATAGTAATGAATTTTACAGTTACTTTACGATTGAACATGGTTTGATTGGACACAAGCCATTCATAGCGCTTGAGATTAGAAAGCCTCTAGGCATTCGTCCACTGTGATTGGTGATCAACGATTTTAAAAAACGAAAAGTTACTTTTAAAAATCGATAATTAGTAACTGTAACTTGTTACCTTTTAACAAGTTACTATTACTACTAATTGTCGATTTTTAAAAGTAATTTTTCATTACTTTTTTTAAATCGATGATCACCAATCACAGCGGACAAGTGCCTAGGGGCTTTTTAATTCACAAACTTGGTGTGAGAAATAAAGAAAGAAATTAACCAATCACAATCAAATATTCTTCTCACATTCGACTGTGATTGGTCAATTTTTTAACTTTACTTTTTATACCAAATTTACTCGGCATATTATCGATCAGGACTAAAAATCTAACCAATCAATCAATTGATCTCCTTCCATTTGATTGATTGATTAATTGTTACAGCTTATAACTTACTACCATTATAGACAGCCCTCAATTTTTCGTTTGTACAATTTTATTGCTAGAAACTTTTTTTGCTAGATTCATTGATTTCATGCAAAAATATGTCGAATGGACCTACTTTTTATCAATGTCAGACGTGAGATAGTTCAACTCAACAATTACCAAAGCAAGTATAAATTGCACACTGTCTTTTAATTATAAAATAAATCAATTCTTTAAGAAACAATTTATAGCATGACTATATAATCAGAATACATGTATTTCTTTACCATGGCGCATAGAACATGACGAAGTGATTTTTCTTGCCAACTTCGATGGAAAAGTTATCGTGGGTATACCGAAGAGTATGTGCATCTTCGTCATGACCATGACTAGTTTGACTTAGTACAAACAGAAGAAGCAGGATCCACCGCTTAGACACGCAATCTATCATCACGAGCGACAGCATCGTTCGCAAAACGAGAAATTATTCAAGCCTGTTTAGACGATATCCCGTCGGGAAGAACAAGAAAGCACAACGATCTTCAAGATTTTTCAACGATTTTTCGACGAAAACCTGTGACTTTTCCTGCCGGGGCTCAAAAAATCGTCAATTGTGACAGCACCATACCAAGTGTGATCTTGAAAAAAGGTCCGCGATTCACAATCACAACTGCTCATAACATCTTGCTGGAGATAGACGGTATCTTGCCGTCGTATCACGTATCAGAGATTACGGAAGAGAGAATTCTTGCAGGACTAAGGCCGTTCGGGTCTGCTCGACTCCGAATTGCCTCCGAATCACTTCGTCTATCTCAACTTTCTCGCGCGAACAGATACACATTCCGCCCAATTCCGCCTACCAATACGTTGAAAAATCAGTGATGATAACCGCGACAACTGAAATCACTGGCTGTTCTTCCACTATGACGAGTCGCGAGGATGCGATTTCGCGACGAGCGATACTATATCGATATCCTCGATATCGAAGAATTCATGATACTTATTATCATCAGAGAGAAATCTGAGAATGGATATCACTGCCTTTTCCACAATGGGGTCCATGTTTTTGTGGTTCTCTTCTATACTATTATGTGAATAAGACAAGGACATGGAATAATTACTCTGAATGTGTATCCTTGTTTAACTCGCGTAATAGTATGAAAAAGAAAATATCGACATTATTCTATAAAAATATCGACATTATTCTATGAAGTAAAAATTACAAAATTGAGCAAATTCGCTAAAGTATTTATAATTTAATTGATCAATACGTAGTAATCTTTGCTCACTTTTGTAATTTTCATCTCCTTTCAAAATCCACAATCGACTCCCAGAATGTAAGAACTACAGTCGATTTCCCTGTCGTTCGACTATAACAGGGGAATGTAGTTGGTTAATTTTTTCATTCTGATCCGGTTTAAACTCTCGATAGAAATTAGGTCGATGAAAATCCTGTTTTCTGATTGATTGCAGAGCATATGACGTACGTCGAATCCAAAGACCGGGTTCACACCTTGATGGAAAAACGGAAGCCAATCAGAACTCATGGAAGACAGAAGCAGACAAGCGAAATGTATCGCCTACTATTACTCCGATTGGCTTCCACTTTTCCGTCAAGATGTAAACCCGGCCTAAGAGGTTTGATACACGAAAAAAGTCGAGATGATCACTTTCAGGTTTCTCTCTACTCACATATCACTAGCGACCTCTCTATTGCCAACTTGGTTAGGACTAGATAAAAGTTACCAAACTTCTAGGAAAAATTTATACTTGGTCTGTTCGTGTACTTTTTGCATTTAGCATCTTCGTCTTTTCTCCTTTCAACACACTCAAATATATATCTATCTCATTTTAAGTTCAAAAATTTGAGAGGGATTTCGGACAATGCGAACAGATTTATTGTTTATGCGTGCTTTACGAGGAGCCATACACCGGAATACCGGATTTAGTGGACCATTTTATCAATCTTTTAATGAATCGGAGTCGGAAATCAAAATAGGGGCCTTTAAAAAGAAAAAAAAGTTTCAAAAGAAGAGCAGAGAAGAATATTTAATTACTTGTAGCATAGGTTATGTATAACCTGTATAACACTTGTTATCGCAGCGTTTTAGAAGTTAATTTAGGTAAAATAATTCTTTAGTTTAGTAATTTTTCAGAATAGCCTTTGATTTTGATAAAATGAGCCTAATTTCATCAAAATCAGAGGTGAGGTAGCTATTCTGAAGAATTAATTTTTTTTCATTACTGCTCATTACATTTGACGTTGCCTCGGATTCGACGATTTACTGATGTGCGGAACAGTGAACGATTATGAAATTTCACTGCTATATCGAGATCCACGATAGAATATTATCTGTCTGCTCGCAAAGAAGATCACAGTCGATCTTGGCATTCACTAAGAAATCGGTCGAAGATGACGTGTACCTGTATTTACAAACACGACAGAACAAACAAGGCACCAAGTATCAGGTAGCTAACAGTAATAGTATCTAATTGTCTGTTTTTCTAACAAACTCATTCTACAATTGCATAATCATAGTCAGTAGGTGGCTATAGTTGTAAGTATTGATCAGAGTAGAAAATTTTTATATTCGATTATAATAGATCAACTCTTATAACTATGCATTTATAAAATGAACTTTATAAGTCATTTATATAAGAGTAAGTTGCGTTCAATGGAAAAAATTAATCAGTGAACACTCGATCATTCTTTAATACATAAGAATTCAATACATAAAAAAAAATCAATCAATTAAAGTTCTTCATTTTCTTTCTTTCCATAAAATAAAAGACTAATTAATTGATTCTCTTACTTTATAAATTATGCATTATACAAAGATCTGTATTCCAGGATTTAATCTCGTTTAATTTTACATTTGAGTAAGCATAATTGTAAATGGTGGTAATTATAAAAATTGATCAGTCGAATATTCTCCTCATATTTAACTATAACTGGTTTAACTATAACTGGTCAATTCTCATGCCTATTCTGTAATAGCCATAAGCATAGTCATGATTGTAAGAATTGATCAGTCAAATATTCTCCTCCTATTCGACATGATTGATTCAATTCTTACATTTACAATCATAACTGTGCTTACGGCTATTGTAGAATAGATTTTAAGCTAAAAACATAAATAAGACATAAGCAGTGAAACGTTTCAGACAATCACAATAGAGAATCTAAGGTTTATTACCTTATGTATTCTCTATTGTGATTGGCCATTCGTTTATTACTCAAGTCTTATTGCCTTAATTTTTCTATGTGCTTCTGGCTTTAAGGGATCTATACATACTTTCTATAATCTGTAAAAAATGTACCATAAGAATTAGCCAATCACATTAAAAAAATCATCACAAATTTTGAGCTGATTGGCTAATTCTTACGATATGTCTAACGTTTAGAAAGTTTGTAGCCTTTACTTTCATTGTAGATTTTTTTAGACTTTAATATCGTTTTAATAATTTTCATATTTTCAGCAGAATCTAAATTCCATATTTCATTTTATTTTTGAAGAATATAAAATAATCATTTTTCTTTTTATTTTTAGATTGTTAATAATGTAAAACAAGTATTCACGAAGTTTATCGCCGATGGCAAAGTTACAATAAGATTGACGCAACCTTGTCACGATCTGATAATTCAGAGTGATTCAATTCAATTGAAAAGCTTTCTTCGTATATTGAATCAAATAATAAATAGACATTCTCAGCATGAGAGTCTCGTAAATCAATATACAGTTATGCCTAATGTGTTTTTCAACTCGAATCAATTCTCCATGGGAAAAGTCAAAGTTGTAGTAAAGAAAAAGTCTGAGTATCCAACCTTACAGGGTTTCCCAAGAACTACAGAGCAATTAATTTTAAGTGGACTGAGCAGAAAGTCATTTGATCGACAAATTTTGCGTTTGCAAAGTCTAAGAATTTTGGATTTGTCGGACAATAACATCTCCTATTTGCCAAAGGAGCTAGGCACCTTACCTCATCTTCAACAACTTTTACTGTCGCAAAATAATCTTGGAAAATCACCTAAATCGAAGTGGACATGGCTAGAGCAAACTGCCATTAAGCATAATTTGCATTTCTTAGATATAAGTAGTAATTTAGTAAGTATCCAATTAAATTTAAAAATTATATTAATAAAGCAGATTCTGTTGTCTATAAATTTATTATTATAATTTTTTATTATTTCACAGTTAACTGAATTGCCAACACAGATTAAAAATCTAAATGCCTTGGTACATCTAAAAATTAGCCAAAATACATTGACGCATCTACCACATAATATTAAAACTTTACGAAATCTGAGAGTTTTGGATGTAGCAAGAAACCGTTTGTCGTATTTACCAGTGACTATCACATATCTGCGATTACAGCTTTTAGATGTTACAGAGAATCCGTTTATGGAATCCTACGACATTAAAAATGATGTTTGTGGAAATGATAGTGCAATGACAGTAAAGATGACAAATCTTGTTGAATGGTCAGCTAAGAGCATTCTAAAGTCTAGGTTCTTGTTTTCTTTTTTTTTTATTTATATCGTATAATTAAATACTTGAAATATGTGATGAATGGATCAAGATAATTTTTATATCTTATATAGGATAACGTATGATGCAAGTATAATACCATATACATTGGTGGATTATTTGGATGAAGCAAAATGCTGCTACCTATGTAAAACTGCTTGTTTTGATTGTTACGTAAAGAAGCTCATATATGTACCTCTACCATGTGCCGAGATAAAAAAGTCGATGCATACAGCTTTTATATTTGAAGCTTATTTCTGTTCGTTACTCTGTGCTAACAATATCCTCTGTAAGTCAAAATAAAACACTTTAACACGTCTAATTTTCTGTTTTAAAACATGATATACAAAATATGTGTATTTCAATTTATATTTTTTATTTAATTATTTTGAATTTATATTTATTGTTTGTATTTACTACTGAGATAAATTGATATAAACATTATTGATCAATACTCTAATATAAATAGAATGATATAATTGTATATTTAATCATCTTTGTGTATATCTTTTTATATGTCATTGTATCTTGAATTATTAATTTTATTAATTGTATAAATTTATTAATTGTATACAATAAATTTTGCATTTATAAATATGACAATTTATTTTTAAAGCTCTGAGTAATAATTTGTGTAACATTATTTTTCAAAATGAAAATATAAGATAATAATTCATATTTATAGTGAAATTATAACAATCTAGTCTATTCTGAAAGACAGATGTATAAAATATTTTGTAAAATCATGAAAAAAAAATAAATTTTACTATTCACAAGAAAGGATTTTTTTTAAATACAAAATCATGGATAATGATTTCTCTTATGCAGGATTTACAATAGGAATGCGTTCAGGGAAACGCTAATAAACATGACTTCATCAAGGATCATAACACAAAAAAACTTAAAACACTAAGACCATAGATTTATAGGATATAGGAGTGTTCATACGAGAGTAGAATTCCTCTAATAAGAGTTCCATCATATTCAGAAAACGAAAGTGATAAGTAAAACAGTAAAATAGCTTGTTATAGCTTGTTTTTTCACTTTGACTGATATTCGTGCATGACATGCAAAAAACTTAAAGCAGTAAGACACTATCATAAGACACTATCTTAAGTTCATAAGTTAGTCTTTCTGCTATGGCCCATAGTCGATTTTTATATTTGAAGCTGTCAACTACAGTCTAAAGATATCATAAGCCAATCAGAAGGATTAACATATATTAACATCTTAAGACATTTCTCAAGACGATTTTGAAATAAGAACGGACTATGAATATCGCTCTTTATCTCATACTTGTTCCCTATTAATGACGGATGCGCACATGAGTGCAAGATAGGTGTTTTAACTCTTACTACAGAAACTCTACACGCTGAAAAGCTGAGGACTTGATTGAAAGAAAGAGAGAAATAATCGTGGAGTAGTTCTCTCCTTTTCTAATAGTGAATTAATTGATGGCATAGACTTAAGCTCGATGTCAGCCCTTACAGGGCTACAAACCTATAGTGACGCTTACTACTGAAATAGCTTCATGTGGTATCAGAAAATAACATTTTGATACTAGAATCAAAGATAATTATTGTTTTGGTGTTCGCTCTTCTTTTCTATTTACTTAATCGTACATATTCTAAGAGTCTTCATATAAAAATTCTGAGAAATTTTCTAAAGTTATAAAATTATATAGAATTTTAAACAATTCTGAAATTTACATAAAAATTTTGAAAATTATATGAAAAATTTTAAGAAAAATTTTCGTCAGAATTATAACATTTTTCTCAGAATTTTTCATATAATTTTTCAGAATTTTTATATAAATTTCAGAATTTCTGTATAATACATTCTATTTTTATATTATTCATCAGGAGACACGGTAGTGCCTCGGCGCTAAGCCAAGCGCAATGACACTATTATGATTCCTTTACACGAGATCACGAGTTATACAGCTTATAACTTATAATTTACTCTTACATTCAAATTAAATCAGTGTACTAATGGCTTTATACACCCATGCGCTCTAGTATGTCCAATCAAATTCGCCGTAAAATACGTTTTACATATTCTCTAAGAATACGTAATATTCTTTTTAAAATACACAGTTTAAAATTTGTTTTTTATTCTTCTTTTTACTCACTTTGGCTATATTCCAAATTTACTGCCAGTATTGAAAATGTTACAGTTTATGTTACGTGCATTATAGATTTTTAGTATAGGCAGTCAATTTTAATTCTTCTGTCATTTTCCTATCAGTGGCTAATGTTTCTATCATCTGGATAAATGTACCAAAATGAACACGGCGTGATATTTTATAGGAGAGTTTGCCATGCAAATGTAGTTTTGATTACGGCAATAAATTTCTAACTTTTATGAAAAAACAATGTTGCGAACAAGAAATAAGCGCAAGATCAAAAAAGCTTCCTTGTAATGACATATTTAAACATATTTAAAAAATTATAAATACTTTTTATATAATAAAATAAAAATAAGAGTATTTAAGAGAATTACAAAGAAAAATTCAAAATTTAGATGTTTTTATATTTTTCCATGATTTTTCCATGACAATTTAAATTCCATGACTTTAGGTTTTCCAGGCAATTTTAGTTATTACAAAAAAGAGATTACTGATAATTGTGCAACATAGTTAATTTTCGCGAATCATTATATGTGTAGAATTATTAGAATATTCTGCTATTATGTATAGCAATACAACTAAGCATAATATAAAAGATTTTTGTTTAATATTTCTTTCAACAGTTTTTTTTTTTTAACAAATATACCTGCAATATTGGATTGTCCGGAAAGTTCGTGCCGACTAACTTATATAATTTAATAAATGTACAATAAAATTTAAATTTTCTATGTTTCAATTTTCCTTCAACATCGACACGAATTTTCCGAACAACTCAATATATCCCACAATGACACTACTTTCACATACATACGGGTGCCATTTCTCTGATCTTCGGCCAGAGATTGGCTATTTCGCTATTTGAAGGAATCTTCAACTTTACAGGAAATATCTCCAATTAACTCCAAATTTAACAACGAGAATCTTATTGGATTACATGTAAATATACAACTGATAAAAAATAAAGCCCATGACAGTCGAAAAGGAATCTTTAGTTCTTAAATAATTCCATATAAATTTATATACTGTATATGTAATTATTTTAATTATGTGACAAGGTAATATTTTTCGCAAAATTAATAAAATAAATTTATTCACATATTTCCACTTAATATTTCTTTAATAAATTTAATGCCTATTGAGCATCAAATTTAATTGTGATATTAATACAGTAATTTATTATGCGTTTCTAACAAGAGAATCGGAGCCGTCTCTCACCGATTTTGTTGGACTTTGAATATATTGTAAAATATAAAAAAATATTAGACCCATATTTTTTTTCATCAGCGTATCTCATGGTTTAAGAGCCTAAGGTGAAACACCTCCAAAAATATGGATTTTATCGTTTTTAGCAAATATCTTCGAAATTATGTGATATGTAAAAAAATGTTTAATATAAAGGTTTTACAGTATTTTGTGTTCTATATAATGGTATATTCATTTTTTTTTAATATTAAAGATATTTGTTAAAATCGATGAAAACGAGGGACGGCTCCAAGTGCTTCTTTTGCAAGTCCAAAAAATTAATTCAGCGCGCAATTCCTCAACCCTTTTTTTGTATGCTCTCTCTCTCTCTCTGTGCGTATGTGCGCGCGTTTTGTGTGTGTGTGTGTGTGTGTGTGTGTGTGTGTGTGTGTGTGTGTGTGTGTGTGTGAGAGAGAGAGAGAGAAAAAATATTACAAGACAATAATTTCGTGGTAATCAATCTCTGACAGAAGGATATCGATCTCTAGCAGACCATTAGTCAAAAAATGGCAACCGTGATATATACATTGATTTCCTATAATTATAAGAAATTAAGACTAACTTATTTTGGTATTATCTTTTACATATCCAAGTCTAACATATTTCATATTATATTTTGCATATCTAATATATCTCATATACACACACACACACACACACACACACACACCAACACACACACACACACACACACACACGTACATATCATATATTCTTTCTTGATGTAGGAAACTGTTTATTAATTTTATCTATTTAAATAATAATAGATTATGTACTGTTGTCTTTCTTCTTTACAAAATTAAAGGAAGCGTCATCAGTCGTTCCAAGAAAATGCTCTTGTGGTGTCACTTTTATCTTCTTACCAATTCGTGATACAGAAAAATCTATATTTTTAAATTGTTTTTCATCTATTCCCATTTGTAAAGGATGAACATAGATTTCAGGATCTTCACGAAGAGGAACTGATTCCACATGGCATTTATCACTGTCCATACATCCATTGAATGTGATTTCACGCTCATGCTGATGTAAGGTGAAAAATGTTTTTTTTTTACGTTCAGACTACTCTCTTTGAATATACGTATCAAACGTGTATAACGTAGTAGTATTCATAACATAATGTTATAATAAAATTGTATGTTACTTATGCTTACCATCGTTTCTAATTCATCTTTTTTCCTTATTGGGTTTTCATTCATAATTAAATCCTGTAGTGAAATTTTATTGGTTTTCAAAAGACCCATGAATGCAGCATTTCTATATAATTTATCTTTCTGTTTAATACATCTATCGTTTAAATTATTAGTCTTAAGTTGATTTACTTTTATATTATCATATTTGGAAGAATTTTGAGATATGTTTTTCTCACATTGCATCATCTCTTTAAGATTTCTAAAGAAACTCTCTTCCCAATGTTTGTTTGAAAGGTCACGTCCACCATTTACCTATGTCAGATTAATTTAATTTTTTTAGCTACAACAATTAATCTTTAAAAATTAATGTTTTTATTTTTATTTAGCTTTTTTATGTATATTTTTTTATGTATATTTTGATGTTTAAACAACATAAAGTTATTAAATTTTTCCTCAAATATATATTTTTTAACACAGAAATTAATTTTCTTTAATCTTAAACTCCTAACGCTATTATTTATGATTAAAATAAAAAATGTATTTTTGTTAATGATTGATAAAATCTTAATTACCTTTTTAATAGATAAGAACATCTGCTTACCTCTTTAACGGCAACAGAGACTTCATGTTTGTCGAAAGTAGGTTTTACTCTACTGCATATATTTACATCCATGTCATTATTCTCTGATGAATCAGAGTCTTCTAGTAACTGAAATTAAATGAGCGAATAATTGTTTATAAATAATATACAGAATCTTCTAAAAGTTCAGAAAAATTAAAATATTTTGAAAATGGCTAAACTAAAGCGAAAAATGTGTGAAACAAAGTTGTAGAGCTAAAGAAAATGTACTTGCTGATGAAAAGGATTTAAATAAAGTCTTCAAGACCAAGATGAAAGTTAAGTTGAATTTTTCGATTAGAAATTTCCATTTTATATTGCATGTTCTTTTATTACCTTTTTGAAATCTTTTGTTCATAATCTTGACAACATATATCAAAGTCGAGACCATTGGAGGCTGTTCTTCCTATTTTCATTTTTGCATTAAAACTGGAAATAAGAACAATCTCCTGGGTAATGCTAATGCTAACAATACTGTAATTTTCAAATTTCATAACATGAGAGGTACTTAACGGAAAAATATTTTATAATACTTTTGAGTCTTTCATGATGTTTTTTCTTCAGAAGTGCCAAAGGATGTAATAGCAACCCTGATAGCTACCTGTCTGTGTTGTTGCTGCGATGTTGTCGAAAATAAAGCGCATTAGTTTTCAGCAAATTTAGAACAAGGTATAAATCATTTTCAATCCTACCTAGTAGGACATCGCGTGAATTCAACATGTGTCGTTGCCAACTTGTTATATATTTGCTATCGATTTATGAAAATGAATGATAAATCAAAGTCATGAATGGAAGTCATTTTGCTGATAACAAAATGAACAACAATTGTTCTCCGTATGCTCTGAATCTGCTGACACAAAATGTTTCAAATTTGCTCTCGTATTGTTGAATATGTATGATTATGTATTACGTTTTCAGCAACTAGTCGAAAATTTATGCTCAGCATTAAATTGCATGAATTTGCAAAACATGCTTGACTAACAGGGAGAATGGAATCACGACACAGCAATAAAATCCTTTGAGGAACAATATTTTATTATAATGAATAGAAATAAACTACAAGAGTATGCAAATAAAAAAAAAGAATATTCTACTGAAAAAATTTAACTTGATCTTCATATAATCTTGCAAACTTCGTTCAAACTCTTATCATTAGGTATATTTTTTTAGTCCTACAATTTTGCTTCTCACATATTTTTCGCTATTTATCATTTTCAATATATCTGGACTTTTAGAATACATTGCATATATGAAATCAAATATTACTTTTTATGTATGTGTTAACATACAATTGCAAAAATGTATTTGTACAGGCGAGATACCTTTAAAAAAAAGATCTTTTAAGAAAATAAAGTTTAATAACTAATTAGCAACTTATTAACAAAGAATAAAATTTCTCAAAATTATTTTACTTAAAAAGATAATAATTAAAGTACATTATTTTAATAACGAGTAAAATGAAACATTTATTACATATACTGACATGTATGTTTCGTGGTTTCCTCACTGGCCTTTCATTCATTTTTTTATCTTTTGTAGCCTGACTTGGTTCTTGCAAAAGATAGAACTTTGCATCATTGTCTGAGGAAATAAGTGCTGTTGCCTTCTTAATATCATTACGCAAATCCATTTTTGAAAAATCTGAAGAACACTAGAAAGATAATAGATTTGATCAAGCTAATTTTTTTTTTGATAATTTATGCTTCTTTAAAGATAGTTTTGACTTGACCTTGTTGAATGTTGCTCAATTTCTATAATATTGCATTATAGAAGAAAATATTTTAAATTTTTATGTATTTTACAAATTTTTTAAATGGCAACCTCATTACCATTATGCAACTCTCAAAAACATTTGATAAAAATCGATGCCTATTGTCTTAAGGAGATATTGCTGAATCTATTATATTAGCATATTTAATGAATTATTTAATTTTAAGAGATCTCTCAGCTTATTCAGTTTATCACAAATTTTCAAAAACATCCTGTACATTTTTCAAAATAAAGTAAGTTTTTAAAAAATAGAAGCAAAAATACATGTTTCACAATTTATCAAATATTAAATTTTCAATATTAAATTTTCTATCGATTCTTTCAAATAAAAAAAAAACTCTAAACAAGACCGAAATATGTTTACAAATAAAATCATTGGCAAACAATGTTTGTTTTCTTGCTGGATTAGATTCTTGCCTTAGATTGGCTGAGATGCTGGCATTTATTATGGTCAATAAATAGTGGCAAGATTCTAATCCAGTTAACAATTCAGCAGGAAAACAAGTGCCGCTCTTAAGTCACTGGCTTAAGAGTTAACTAAACAGTTGAATGGATTAATTAATATCGTCTAAATTAATTTACAAGTAATACTTGGGTACAAATTTGTACCTAGGTATTCTTTATAGATGCTCAAAAGGGACGTTCCTTATAAGGGAGAATATGTGCTACATAAATAATTGTATTACAATTTTTCGGATCAAGCTAATTTATTTTCAATATTGTCATTTCAATAACACTAGAAGAAGCATTTAATTTTATCTGTCTTACCTTTGTTCGACTGCAAAAACAGAAAACTAAATTGAGAAGCTTTCCGACTTGCTCACGCACTGATCAAAGTCACATTTTTATGTATTTAATCGTATATATGTATATCTTTAATTTCACGCGTCATCTTTCATAAATTTTTTATATCCTCGCAAATTAACTGTCTATTTATATTGGTAATTGTTCAGTTTAGCCACGTCACTTCAAAAATCAATGAAATTAGGCTCATTCGACGTTTATGTCCGAAACGAACGGTTTTGATCGAGATAAGCATCACTCCCGTGAAATGAAATATTAACAAGATATTAATCGCCAACAATAAATCAGGTTAGGAAATTTGTCACAGCTACAAATTACGTACTGCGAAAATTACGATGCGAATTGCGAACATGCGCGTACGGTCACATTTTCATACTCTATGGCCATATGCGCATCTCTGGCTGTGTTTCAAAATTCACTTTATTCACTGCCAGCGCTGAAAATCTAGGCTGCGTTCAGGAATTAATTACAAAATTTAAAAAAGGGGCGATTAAAAGTACATGCAAATTAATAAACTCACAGGCTCTTAACATGTTCATTGGTTACCGCGTCGCATTTTACCGCGCGGCAAGCGTTTCCAGTGTGCATTGCGAGGATCATATGTTCCATAATTGACTTAGTTTCCACCGAGGGTTTAGGGCGACTGTTATCAACGCCGATTAACTTAATCGACGATTAATTCAATCAGCAGTGTAATCAACAGTAAGACTCTATATCGTTTTTAATCTTATCTCTTCGTGATATATTTCTATCTTTGCGTTCTTATACTTACCTATGATAAAAATAATGAAAATCTTTTATCTATAATAATTCTGCTGAATGAGCTAAGCGACGATTAACTCATTCAGCAGAATTATTATTATAGATAAAAGATTTTTATTACTTTTATCACAGGTAAGTATAAGAACGCAAAGATAGAAATATATCACGAAGAGATAAGAAGAACGATATACAGTCTTGTTGTTGACTACACTGCTGATTGATTGAGTTAATCATCGGTTAAATTAATCGGCGTTGGTAACAGTCGCTCTTAAATCGGATCAGAATCAACCACAGTCGAGTATTCTCCAGAGTATTCTCGTTCGACCGTACCAGGGGAATATTCGACTGTAATTGATTGATCCTTATATTCCGATCCGATTTAAACCCTCGATGGAAACTAGGCATTGACTGTACTGAAAGTATATAATGCACATAAAGCCGGTTCTACATTAGTTGCAAGCTGATGAGTTTGTTGCGACAGCCAATATGAAGCGTTGATTTCCAAATACAAGCTTCAGATTGGCTGTCGCAACAAATTTGCTGATCAGCTTGCAACTAATGTTAAACCGGTTTAATGTAGAATGAGCTTAACGTGTTTGATGTATGAAATATTGCATGTTACTTTGGATTTAGCTTTATTAAAATCAAAAGTAACTTAATTAATTTTTACCGTTAACGCCAAGATTTCTTATTTCCAATTTCCTATTATTTTTGCACCCAATTACAGAATCTTTTTGCAAGCATTTTAAAATAATTTAATTTTTATTAATAAACAGCGCATGCCGATTTCGTTTGAACATCTATGTTACGCCTGATTTAGCCGATTGGTGACATCTTTTGAGTTACGTAATGTACGCAAGTGTAATAAACGCTCCCTTACTTTTTGTACTTTTTTTTTTGTAATTATGCAGGGGATGGGTTTAGTTACCGATTTTGATTAGAGTCATTCGACGTGTTTTTGCATGAACGAGTCTGGCAAAAAATAAGTGTCACTTTCCCGGAAAAATCTGTCATATTCGTTCATTTCGTGCAAAAATGCGTCGTATGACCCTAATCTCGTCAAAATTGATGAATAAGCTTGTCTTCTGCATAATTATTTTTTTAATGTTAAAACAGGTTTTTAAGACTGACAATGCTAAGACAGAATAAACTATACCGTATATAAAGATATTTATCTTTAAACATTTTTATCTTTTAAATATTTAATTTACATACTTATGTTTAATTCTATGATATTTTATTATATAATAGATATTTTAGTTTTTAGTGTTCTTACGCTAAAGCGAGCATAGTGAATAAAACAAAAATAAGGCAAAAAGTTTTTTATTTATTTAATACCTATAATCTTTATTGTCCGAGACGACCATGATTTATTAAAAAATAATGATAGATTACAAAAGTAACGTGATCAATTTCGTTATTCGTTAGAAAAAAATGTAATGTTACAAGTAATAACACGTTACTTCCTAACCCTGATGTCTCCCATTATTGAATAGCCTGAGTTCCGACACCGACGAGATGCTATTAAAGACCGACATTCTTACAGGAGTTCGCGTCTTTGTGAATATTGAAGTGATTAAGAGTTAAAAACTGATAATATTGTATTAATTTTATATTTATGATTTATTAGTTTACATATTTAGTAGACATATTTATGCATTTATAACTCTATAATACTCAATTTTTCTTTAAAAGCGTGATTTCAATGTTATGTTGTCAAAGTTTGATTATCAACAAAAATGATAACTGCAGAGAAAAAATTTTAATTTTTTTTGCAATAAAATAGGATAATATAGCTTTATAAATATAGATATTTATTTATGGAACATTTATGTAATAAAAAATCATGAATTTAATAATGTATGAGCCAAATATTTATTATTTATGTTAATAATAGCGAATTTATATCAATTATCGGTAATGTCAACATTCTTCAATTACTTCTGGGCCCTTTTTATACCGCCGAAAATTTGTCCAAGGTTTGACAGTATTTAATAGTAATTCATTGGTGGTTCCGATCATAAAGAAAAGCATCAAAACATTAAAAAAAATAACACTGAATATGTGTGTGTGTAAACTAATAAGGACTAACTTTTTGGTACTTTCCAGCAAATGATACAGTGATTATGTCATCTTCATTTAACATTATCAAATAACAAAGATATAATGATTTATTGTATTATACAGTCTCATCTGTGTCTTTTGTTAAAAAGCATCCTTTGCCAGAGTTTGCATGTAAAATAAAATGCGTTTTAAATCTAAGTATATATACATATTTAAGATAAACAGAAAAATATTTACTTGTAAAGTAACATATTTGTTATAGGGGTTCTGCATAATACAAGGAACAGAAAACAGAAAATAAGAATTTCAACTTATCGGAAATTGTGTATTCCACAATACATGGTTTCTGATAGATTGAAATTCTTATTCTCTGTTCCTTGTTTCTTTTATTGTGCGGAGCTCCTAAGAGTATGTACTAAAAATATATATGTAGGGTGTGTGAGGTGTGCGTTACCGACTGTGTGTCGATAGAAGCGTGGTGTATGTGTGCATGTGGCGCTTTGGTCGCGAGATTAGATACAAACGAGAGCGCGTTCTCTGAGAAGACGTTAGGAGAGAATATTTTTCGAACACGAATACGTTTTCGAAAGAGCTAGAACGAGCAAGTTTTTATTCAAAGACAGAATTAAAAGTCGCGAGAAATTACGCGTGCAAGAGCATTGCGAGTTTTCCAGAGGCGCCCGCGCGAAGAGAGAACTGTAAGGGACAAGCACAATAAAAGGAAGAGAATAGAGAATAAGAATTTCAATCTATCGGAAATTGTGTATTCCATGATACATGATTTCTGATAGATTGAAATTCTTATTCTCTGTTTCCTGTTTCCTTTTATTGTGCGAAACCCCTAACGAATATTGATAGCGAATCGTCTGTAAGTAAATATATTGAATATAAAATATATTTATTGAACTTGCATCAAACTGTTAGCGAGATGCTTATTCCTAACGTCCCACATATATAGTTAAAAAAAATTATTAAAAAATATTTTGCAAATAAAGATAATATAGAATTCTCGTGTACAATATATAATTTGTACAACATTCAGTAATAATAATGTTCATCAGTTATAATTCAGACTTCTTGTAAATCTACTTCAACATTTTCATATATGAAACTCATGATCAGTAAATTTATTTTTCATAAGTAATGATAATAATTATGATCAATAATTATTATTCCTCAATTATTTCAAACCATTTGCAAATCTTTTCAATATTCTATTTTCATAAAATTCACAATTAATAAATCATTATTTATTAAATAAAGTTCGCTATATATGGTTCGCTTGCAATATTAAATATTGAAAGTTTCAATAGTAACAATACCCATTCAATTTTATCAAATCACTTACAAATGTTCACATTTTCATTTATAAAAGCTATAAAACAATTGTAGATTCTTTCTATTTCAGAATACTACTTGCATATGCACTAAATGAAAAAGAAACTGTAAAATGTATTTCATGATGCATAAATTAAAAAATAATATTAAAATTAGATTTTAAAAAGTCACAGAATATGACAGATATAACATGATTGCTTCAATTCTAAAATAGGAGTTTGTTTCTGACAAGTTTCCAGAATAAATATCAAAAATATCTAAAATATGAATTATAACATAAGTTTATCCTGTTCAATACATATTGAATCAGATATTGGAATTTAATATACCAAAATTAATACTGAATATTAATTTGAAATGTAGAAATAAGATGTAAAAACCGTTATATTATTTCGTAATATTAATAGTTGTTCTTTCTTCGTTTCTTTATCTGCAAATATTATCGGTTGCATTTTTATTAAGATTATTATTTGCATTATCGTGAGTTACCGAGACATCAGGTACGTTTTTGTCACGTTTTTGTCACTTTCATTGTAACTTCCATTAAAACTTTCATTGAAATTATTGTCAATACTTTTACTTGTCGTTGCTTCAGCACTACAGTTATTTGTAGGCTTAAGTTCTGGGCTCTTTAACGTGTTATCCATATCACGGATACACTTTCTTATCTCATGCCCGATAGCAGCTGCCAATGGTGGTGGTACCGCATTACCAACCTGTCGATGCTTATCAGTTATTGTACCGAAAAAACGATATGAATCGAGAAAGCCTTGCGATCTTGCACACTCCCTCACACTGACAACTCGATTTTGTACTGGATGCAAAACACGACCCTGAAAATCAATTATTAAATTTGAATTAAGAACTTTTTGAACAAATTTTTATAGCCGCATAATGCACAGAAAAAATTAATTAATAAAGTTATAGCAAAATGACATTAGATATGATCCAGTTAATGTCGCAAATGTTTTGAAGCATTTTTTGATTGCTTAGTTCGTTCTTCTGATCAACGAAATATTTGCAACATTAAGTGAATCGCATCTCTAGCGCATCTTTCTAAATTACAATATCTCCAGTTTATGAATGAATGTTAATATAAATAATAAATAGTAAATAGGATTGGCTACATTAATATAAATAATGGTTAACTTCAACGATTAATATCTTGCTTCACAGGACAGAATATCACTTTTTTCTTCCAGATTTTTTCGTTTCGTACAAAAACATATCAAGCATAATTTCATCAAGCAGAGAGATATTCATTTAAATGAATACCGCTATGAATATGCAGCTGTATCATTTTGTGCAAGAGATTTTAACTTCTACGTTCAAATTGTATCTACTATATCGAGATTGCAGAATAGGAATTAATTTGTAGTATTTTAAAATTATTAAAAATTATATTTCATACTTTCACCATTTTAAATTACTAGAAATTAGGAGGAGTGCGTTCCATTTTCACGCTCGTACATTGTAAGCATTAGTTCAGCCTCAATTAGTTTATCAAATATTAAACAAAAATAAATGAGGGTTAAGGCCTGTGCATAATAGAACAAATATTAGGAATAGAAATAAATATTAAGATTTCAATCTAT